AAAATCTAAGATAACTATTTTGTAGAGTAGAATTTAAGAAAAATTTTAGTAAAAAAATGTCTTTTTAATATTGAGTAGTAAATATTCTGCAGCGTTTTGAAGTTTGTGAAAATTTGAATTTTCATGTATTATTTTACGGTATTAAACATTGAAATACGTATTGAGAAAAGGACAGAAGAAAACGGCATCTTCTTTCTCGAGGTTGAGTAACAAGGGTGATCCTTGGGCAGGATAGATGTGTCCACGTGCATCAGTAAATCGTGGCTATCAACTAAATCCTGGTAGAAGTCTCTGACTCTGAGCAGGTATATGAAGGAGTCTAAGAAAAGTTAAAAATATATAAATATTGTAAAAATATTTCTACAGTATCGTTGCACATACCAGTATCCATATAAACCAGACTGATTGCGTCACCATAATGAGGTTTTAATAAGTTGTAGTAATACTTGTACATTAGCGTCTTGCTAATTTCAAGCACTGCTAAACCAACGTATATAGGTTTAACAATCTTTACTATTTTCGTGTCCTTTATGACAGCGCACAATTTTTCACCGTATTTGATACAATCGTTGAAGGTTGGTTGGTTTACAAGATTGCTTAGACGTTCGGGACTGGAGATTAGCTCAATGCGGATGCGTTTCCGCATGATTTCCATGGTTTTCCCTATAAATCTAAATATTTATAGAATAACCCACAACTGCTTTAGCATTGAGCGTGCACTTACCAAAGAGGGCATTATTCATTAATTTGAAAAATGCTAATTCAAAAGCATTTTCCGGCTGTTTCCGCATTTCTGTGTTCAAATCAATAAACGGTTTCAACCAAGCACATTGTTGAAACTTTAAAACGCGGTGCACCTGTGTGACAAACATATTAATATCATAGCTTTAGGTACGATGTATATACTTTATCGACTTGCAGTCCATGTGCGGTTGCCTGTTTCAAGTTGACATAGCGTACAACGTACCGTTGTTTGGGTTTCAATGTGACCATGAGTTTGGACTCTTTGGAACCCAGTGATAGATCGTTTACAGGCAAGAACGGCAAGTCATTGTACTCATCATGCAGCTCTTCTGGATATGATACGTCCACTTCATATATATGTCTCGTATTACCAGTCTCCGACAGTAATTAGAGGTCTGCCAGAGATTCTGCTCATTCATACCACCGGAAGCTTCCGTGCAGTATGGGCTACCTCATAGCCCAAACGTACAGGTTATTACCTGTAATAATTTTCAACTGCCACTCACTTATTACACGTAAATATATAAATATGTATCGATTACTTACAGTCTTGGTACACGATCCATGAGTCTGGTTTTTCGGATCGTAATCTGCTACCTTAGAATTGTTAGCTTTTGTATAGTACTTAGTGTCTTGCACCAGCCCACCACGAATGCCCTGTTCTATCATCAGTAGCATGTCGTAGTCATTTAAGAGCTCCAGCTTCAACTCGGTGTACATCAAAATTGTATGTTGAAGTAAAGATGTTGCTGAAGTTCTCAAACACATCAGCCAATAACAACACGTCGATTTTAAGGTATACGTCGCTATACTCACCGAACGTTGAGCAGCCGAAACGCCTTCGTGGCGTGTCTATAGTCATCATCGTCGATATTCGACTTATTCAACTGACTATAGAAAGTGTCGCGGGGTGGTAGTTCCGTTTCGTTCAATTTAGCCCAATTATTAGTGTACTCGTAAAGTTATACGCCCTTAGGCGTCACCAACGGCATGTCTTCCGGGTGTAACACTTTAGCCATCTCCTGGAATTTTACGAAATCGGGCGTCATTAGATTACCGGCCAAAGTGGACAGGGAGGAGGCCATGAACCGAAAGGTGTCGACGAATCGTATGGAGAAATTATTGGTCACATGTTTCGTGACCAAAATATACTTCTCCTCGGAATTCGGTATAACCGAAATCCTTTGGTCGTCGTACCCTAATTCAGTGACGATGAAATGTGCGTCGTAACCTGAATGATTGTGCAAGAAGCACGGCAAAAAGTTGACCGTTTTCACTTTCGGGTTACACGCATTGCACAACGTCTGTCGGTAGAAGACAGTGATCTACGACTTTAGGATTTGAATCCTTGAATACTATACGGCACAAGTTGCATACCACTTTCTTCCTGTGCCTATGCACGTATTCGACGGACATTCGGATGGGAACGTTAGTTTTACGCAAAAATTTGGAAATAATGCGCGTCACTTCCGTTACAGCCATTACGAATGCTTTGTTACCTCTTCGCGATCCTCGGACCCATGATATACCACCGGTGATTGCGGTATATCATAGCATTCGAGGAGCTCGGAGGCTACATCGTCCGATGTTTTCACCATTAACCGGTAATTCATGGGATGGTGTATGTGAACAGTCCTAGTATAGACACCCATACAATCGTCTGTTTGCTTCAGTAAAGCCTCAAAATCAGCGTAGATAACGAACGAGTTTGGCAACCAGCTCTGATATAACAGAACGCAAAAAATCTCGATAACTCGCAAAATTTTTCACGTTTTTCCGATAAAAAAAACGGCTCCCCGCACCAATGCCAAATCAATCTTAATGAACTTTTTCGCGTCCGGTAGTTGTATATGCAACCTTTTTATTTTACTCTACTGTTGTTAGCCCTAGATTTAACCAAATGATGGTGTGGAATATTCGGGAAAAAGGAAGCTATGAAAAAAAATGTGTATAAAATAAAATAAAATTTTTGATATAAGTGTCGAAAATGAAATATATAATCAAAAATATAAAAATTTACCTTGTGAAGCACCAGTAAAATGTACATTAGTCATTGTTATTCGATTTAAATTNCTTTCTTCCTGTGCCTATGCACGTATTCGACGGACATTCGGATGGGAACGTTAGTTTTACGCAAAAATTTGGAAATAATGCGCGTCACTTCCGTTACAGCCATTACGAATGCTTTGTTACCTCTTCGCGATCCTCGGACCCATGATATACCACCGGTGATTGCGGTATATCATAGCATTCGAGGAGCTCGGAGGCTACATCGTCCGATGTTTTCACCATTAACCCGTAATTCATGGGATGGTGTATGTGAACAGTCCTAGTATAGACACCCATACAATCGTCTGTTTGCTCCAGTAAAGCCTCAAAATCAGCGTAGATAACGAACGAGTTTGGCAACCAGCTCTGATATAACAGAACGCAGAAAATCTCGATAACTCGCAAAATTTTTCACGTTTTTCCGATAAAAAAAACGGCTCCCCGTACCAATGCCAAATCAATCTTAATGAACTTTTTCGCGTCCGGTAGTTGTATATGCAACCTTTTTATTTTACTCTACTGTTGTTAGCCCTAGATTTAACCAAATGATGGTGTGGAATATTCGGGAAAAAGGAAGCTATGAAAAAAAATGTGTATAAAATAAAATAAAATTTTTGATATAAGTGTCGAAAATGAAATATATAATCAAAAATATAAAAATTTACCTTGTGAAGCACCAGTAAAATGTACATTAGTCATTGTTATTCGATTTAAATTTAAAAAAAAATATATACTAGTACTTGTATACGTTTAAACAAATATTTTTAAGCAATGTGTTAGCGAGCCGCTAATAATACGTCTTGCTTAGTCAAAGAGTGAATAAAATCTTTATTAACATTTTTATAAATACGGTCAGCTTTGTTATTGTATTATCCATTGCATCGGTAATGGTGGAGGCAGTAATTAAACATATATGCACATCGTATATCGTGAGTAAAATGACCTAAGTATATCAAGTGGTCTGAGAAAAAAAGGATTTAGGATTCTACATAATATTCAGAACGTATTATATTACATTTTATNAAGCCTCAAAATCAGCGTAGATAACGAACGAGTTTGGCAACCAGCTCTGATATAACAGAACGCAGAAAATCTCGATAACTCGCAAAATTTTTCACGTTTTTCCGATAAAAAAAACGGCTCCCCGTACCAATGCCAAATCAATCTTAATGAACTTTTTCGCGTCCAGTAGTTGTATATGCAACCTTTTTATTTTACTCTACTGTTGTTAGCCCTAGATTTAACCAAATGATGGTGTGGAATATTCGGGAAAAAGGAAGCTATGAAAAAAATGTGTATAAAATAAAATAAAATTTTTGATATAAGTGTCGAAAATGAAATATATAATCAAAAATATAAAAACTTACCTTGTGCAGCACCAGTAAAATGTACATTAGTCATTGTTATTCGATTTAAATTTAAAAAAAAATATATACTAGTACTTGTATACGTTTAAACAAATATTTTTAAGCAATGTGTTAGCGAGCCGCTAATAATACGTCTTGCTTAGTCAAAGAGTGAATAAAATCTTTATTAACATTTTTATAAATACGGTCAGCTTTGTTATTGTATTATCCATTGCATCGGTAATGGTGGAGGCAGTAATTAAACATATATGCACATCGTATATCGTGAGTAAAATGACCTAAGTATATCAAGTGGTCTGAGAAAAAAAGGATTTAGGATTCTACATAATATTCAGAACGTATTATATTACATTTTATAAAAGCTGCCCAAGAAAATTAAAAGAGAAGTTGATAAAGTTAATTAATATTAGTGACGCAACCAGAAAATAATTTTTTGAGGAGAAGTTATAATTTTAAAAATATGATGATCTCTTTGTTTTTTTCTCACCATAATTTTTTTACTTTGAATCGCTATTAAGGAAAATTCAAATAAGCAAAAAATAAAATTACATACTCAAAAAAATTGTTTATGCACGAATAAAACTTTTAAACATATAGAAGGAGAGGTTACAACCCTCTAACCCACACTGGGTTTCACCAACAATAAAAATATTAAAATAGAATTTTTAATTTGGTTATATTTTTCTTATTAAAATTATCACAAGATCAGGTATTCAAATTACAATTGATGGGGAAACCGAAAAACATTTTTATGAGCTGCTAAGTACTTTTCACCTTTGACAAACCATGGTCTAGACTGAAAAAAAAAATTAAGCAATTAAAAAATAAAAATATGGTTAATGCAAACAGAATGAATAGTGAAANTAACATTTTTATAAATACGGTCAGCTTTGTTATTGTATTATCCATTGCATCGGTAATGGTGGAGGCAGTAATTAAACATATATACACATCGTATATCGTGAGTAAAATGACCTAAGTATATCAAGTGGTCTGAGAAAAAAAGGATTTAGGATTCTACATAATATTCAGAACGTATTATATTACATTTTATAAAAGCTGCCCAAGAAAATTAAAAGAGAAGTTGATAAAGTTAATTAATATTAGTGACGCAACCAGAAAATAATTTTTTGAGGAGAAGTTATAATTTTAAAAATATGATGATCTCTTTGTTTTTTTCTCACCATAATTTTTTTACTTTGAATCGCTATTAAGGAAAATTCAAATAAGCAAAAAATAAAATTACATACTCAAAAAAATTGTTTATGCACGAATAAAACTTTTAAACATATAGAAGGAGAGGTTACAACCCTCTAACCCACACTGGGTTTCACCAACAATAAAAATATTAAAATAGAATTTTTAATTTGGTTATATTTTTCTTATTAAAATTATCACAAGATCAGGTATTCAAATTACAATTGATGGGGAAACCGAAAAACATTTTTATGAGCTGCTAAGTACTTTTCACCTTTGACAAACCATGGTCTAGACTGAAAAAAAAAATTAAGCAATTAAAAAATAAAAATATGGTTAATGCAAACAGAATGAATAGTGAAAGTTTTTAATTTTATGTGAAATACACACTGTTTTTAATTTTGTTAATTATGATTTAATCATATGATTAAATTTGTATGCGACAGTAAGCCTGTTTTTTATATATATTATACGTCTTACGAGGAAATAGGTATACGAGCGGCTATACTGTGATTGTATGTTATGAAAATTATAAATAGTGATATGTATAGTTATATTTTCATAAGANAATTTTAAAAATATGATGATCTCTTTGTTTTTTTCTCACCATAATTTTTTTACTTTGAATCGCTATTAAGGAAAATTCAAATAAGCAAAAAATAAAATTACATACTCAAAAAAATTGTTTATGCACGAATAAAACTTTTAAACATATAGAAGGAGAGGTTACAACCCTCTAACCCACACTGGGTTTCACCAACAATAAAAATATTAAAATAGAATTTTTAATTTGGTTATATTTTTCTTATTAAAATTATCACAAGATCAGGTATTCAAATTACAATTGATGGGGAAACCGAAAAACATTTTTATGAGCTGCTAAGTACTTTTCACCTTTGACAAACCATGGTCTAGACTGAAAAAAAAATTAAGCAATTAAAAAATAAAAATATGGTTAATGCAAACAGAATGAATAGTGAACGTTTTTAATTTTATGTGAAATACACACTGTTTTTAATTTTGTTAATTATGATTTAATCATATGATTAAATTTGTATGCGACAGTAAGACTGTTTTTTATATATATTATACGTCTTACGAGGAAATAGGTATACGAGCGGCTATACCGTGATTGTATGTTATGAAAATTATAAATAGTGATATGTATAGTTATATTTTCATAAGAGTTAGAAATCATCCATTATATCCAACTTTCTTATTTCGTCGTCAAGATTTGTTAAAATTCATAATTATTAATTGGAAGAATGTNCAAGATTTGTTAAAATTCATAATTATTAATAGGAAGAATGTTTTAAGTTTTTAAATATGATGGAAATATGCAAAAAAAAAAAAAAAATCTATAAATACATTGATAATGTTTTTTTAAAAATGAAATGCTATGCTTAAAAGTTTAATACTTTTTAAATACGCTTTAAAATGTTATAAAACCAAGAAATAATTGTTATATGTTCATTACCATATTACATTGTATTATTCGACCTCAATAACTGTAATACAGTTTGATATACAAGCACATTATTTTAATCTATAGCACCATGGGCTAACTTATAACACTGATAAATAAATAAATACAAACAACACTAACGCTGGATTAAGTGAGAAACAAAGATAATAAAATAAATGAATTAATTTTTTCATCATTTTTGTCAAATAAGACGTCAGTAATGTAATGTATTGTTAAAATTTAAAAATTGACAACGCTTGTTTTCAATTTTATTAAATATATATATATAATGTAGCGACCAAAACATACGCAACGAATATTCTCGAATGTTCTCGTTATCAAAAACCTTCGAGAAACTTCGATAACGCCATAAGATAACCTACGCGGGTATAGAATATTCTAGAATTAGCGAGAGCCTTATCGGAGCTATATATATATCGGAAGAATCAGTCAGTTCAGTTAGTTCAGTTCAGACTGTCTAGTCCGCGATACGCTACACGACCGCTACACCCCGCCGCTGTTGTCATCGTGTATTATGTTTACTTCGATTATTTTATTTTTCCTTACTGTATATACATATATTTTCTTTTAGTGTTTATACGTCTATTTTAGTGTTATAATTTTGTTTAATAAAAGTCTACCGCCATTTAAATAATTGTGTGTTGTAAGATATAACCCACAATAATATTTGTTAGTACTATACGGCACCACGCCTTGCTCTAGGCGGTCTCTCTCAATATCAGTCGTTCACCTATCAATAAGAAAATCGGTGGTCATCGTGTATCTCTCCACCCTTGACACCGTGACAAGGCCGATTTTGTATTGCTGATTATGCGTTCTGTTACGTTCCGACGATTATCTTGGCAGTTACAAATCATTCGATAACAAACATAGCGACAGATTAATTTTATTCCTAGTGTGCCATCCCGTTATCGTTCCGGGATTACCTTATACAGCTTATTTTTATTTCGCTTTCCTTGAGAATAACACGCTGCATTTTATTTATTTGCATTTTGATACGTTATNCACGCTGCATTTTATTTATTTTTTTTTTTTTGAGCTTTATATACATATTATAAATATATTTTCTTATATCATATTTATAATTGTATTATGCGATAAAATAAAAGGGATTCTGCCTTCCTTTTTATCAATTATAAAAGAAAATGCTGTGTTGACTTTTTTTCTTTTTTCTTAAATCAGTTTTTGTGGGTGATAACGCTTAATTTTATTATTTTGATACGTTACAGTACATTTTATCCTCTTCTGTGACTCTAATGTGGTGGTACGTTTTTACAAAATCACTAATTACAACAAACTTATGTGTGCAAAACTTGACTAAAATATGTATTAATTTTGTATACATGGCCCTTTTAATGAACAATCATTTAAACTAACACCCGATGCAATTTGGCGATTACGATGTTCTTATTTTTGATGTCCGGTTGTTCGAGCTGGTTATTTGTTTTTGTACAACCCCTTAGCGTTCCGGATTTTCGTCCAACGTTGTGTTATATTAATTACAACCCGAATTGTATGATTATTTTGTTAATAACACTACATCAGTGTTGTTAAATAATAAAACTAATAATACTAATAATAATAAACTGTGGCCATTTTTGTTTAAAAAAAGACCTGAGTTGTACGTTTATTTTCTTTTTTTTTTAAGTTTGGTTTATTAATTCTTAGTTTGCGTTTGTGCACTCCCTATCACACTATATTGGATAGTGTCAGTGTTAAAATTTATTTCATTTTCCTAATGGTACTTATATTATTTGTTTATTTTTTAATTTCAAGTAAAACGATAAATGCAATATTAAAGGTTCATTTGTATTGAGTATCTACCCTATTTTAATTTCTATTTCTCTAATCAAAACTTTCAAACCATAAACTCCAATAGAAGGGATAGTATATAGGGTGATCGGTTTATCATAAGCCAATCGATTACTCACAAAATAAATACAATATAAGATTTCTTTTAGTTACATATAATTCTTAATTTATCAGCTAATAATTAATTTTAAGATCATCCCATATAATTTATAAGGGAGTCAACTTTTTTTTTTAATTGATATTATAAAATTTAACTAGCTTATAAAATAGGAAATTATCTAATTAAGAAAATTACTGGTCCATAGCAGCTTTTTGACTAGTATGTTGTATGTTATTCTCATTTTTATACAAAAACGGGACGAAATGATAAAAATAACATCACCCATTCCTCACCACCAGTCAATACTTCAAATTGTTAATAAATACTGAAGTATTGGATCAAAAGTACAAATAATTTTATTAAATAGATTATTTTCTATTTTATAAGCTAGTTAAATATGTATGCTGCTATTTCATAAATTAAGTTGACACCCCTTTAAGTTATAAGGGGTGATCCTAAAAAATAATTATTGGCTGATAAATTAAGAATTATATTTAACTGAAAGAAATCAAAAATTATTTAATAATTAAAATAATATTATATTTACTTTGCAAGTAATCGAGTGGTTTAGGATAAACCGATCACTCTATATTATATAACTTATTCTTCTATTGTAGTAAATCAAACCCTGCTCGCCTAATTCCTACTTTTTTCTTACTTTAATTTACTAACATACAATGAAATACTTGATTTACTTACACGATTTTTATCTAAAGTCATTAAAGTATAATATGCTGCAGAACAATATTTCACAAAATCACTGCGATTATTATCAAAAGTAAATTTTTGAACACGGTCAACCATATATTGAGGAGTGGAAGTTTTAGAAACAACTTTTTTTAAATTACGGATGGTAGATATACGAAATGAGTCATGGTTCAATGTGTCTGAAATATAATATTACATAATAAGAGATTAAAATTGAGAATTTGAAGAAAGGAAATTAAAAAAATGTAAAAATTATTTTTAAAAATATAGTAAATATTATGAAAAAATAATGTATATGAGATGTTTGCTGTGATTGTTTTTAGACAAGACACTCGATTTTTGTCAGAGCAATTATAAATTTTGTAATGAAAAAAAATTATTTGATTCATAAGTAATACTAAAATAATGTTTTATAATTTTTATTCTTAAAGAAAAAATATTGCTTTAATTAAAGTTTAACAAAATACCGTTTTAAATTTAATAATATGATATTTATAATATATGTAGTAACTTTGGATTTAAATTTTACATCATGTATTTGTATAAAATTACTTACTTTTTTCAATTTCTGAAAAACATTTATACTTTTCTAAGCATTCGTACAGAATATGTGATGCTGCATTATATTTTATGGACACTAGATCATCCACGTTTTCCTTTACTAAAATCTAGAAAAAAATACAAATACTTATGTTTAACAGTATTAATAATAATTCTCATTAATTCAAAAGGCAGATGATTCAATTATTTATATGAGTTATAGTATAGTGTAAAGCTGAACATAATGTGGACTTTAGGTAAGAATATTTTTTTTTACTGATTGTAAGCCCTTACTTAATTTTTATAGTAATGGATGAAATTTCTAGAGAATTACAAGAGGAGGTACCGTGGTGAATGTTGTTCGCTTTTATATAATGTTAATAAGAGTAAATAGGGAGGAAATTAATCAATAAGAGGGTGTGTAGATGTAGTGTCAATCTTATTTAAGATCAAAGAAATAAACTTAGATGGTTTGGTCATGCGGTGAGAAGAGAGGAATCGGAAGTTGTAAGAACAGTTATAGAAATTAAAGTTGAATGAAGAAGTGGTAGAGGAAGACCAAAAAGAGATGGAGGTATGTTATTGAATACGATATGAGGACGACTGATGTGAGCCTAGATAATGTGGGAGATTGTGTCCAGTGGAAGTTTAGGATAAGGTTGGCCAACCCCAAATAGTTGGGATTAAGACGAGGAAAAAGAAGAAGACGTAAATTTTACACACAAGTAGTGTAATTTTTACAAAAAGTATCAAAAAATCGTACACAAATATAACATTTTTGTTAATATTCATTAAAATTGTCCTTCACATGACTTCTCAAACTTTTTGACAATATTTTATGCCGACTCTCAACTTGACACAAACTCATTAGTAGCCTCTTAAAATTGGAAGTATTTTTATCTTCTATTTACAGGGATATATAAGAAGAACAAGTCCTTTACGTATGCGTTTAAAGCTTTCAGCACATGCATGTGATGTTATAAGAATGTGACGTTATAATCTGATAGAAATTGCCACATTACTCAAAAAAATTTTATTCTAGAATTAGGCATGTTAAGTGAGAATATATTAATAAGCTAATGCGTATTGAATAACTAGTTTCGAGCTTAATGTCTTTGTTCTACGAACATTAAGCCGGCAGACGACGCTAAAAAAGTTACGAAGATATTTTTAGTGCTGAATTTTTTGTCGAGGTGATTATTGTGCTGCATTCTTTCATGCCGTTATCGCCGGAGCACATTGGGTTACCACAATGTCACCTTGATATATTTCTACAAAAATATAAATACTTTTGAATTGACACGGTTCCACGAAGCTTTGTGATACACAGTGCCCTGCGACACGCGCTACCTTTATCAGCTATTGTCCTACTATAGATTGACGCGACTTCCTTTGCAAAAATGTAGTCGACACTGGTTTTGAGGGTAGGGACCCGTGGGCCGTTTATTAATGAGTAACAACGGGTTAACTTTAAAGAAAGACAAATAAACCGAAAAGACGAATACAGTAATAATAATCATTGCTTAATATCGCGGCACTTTCGCTGACGTCGACGACGTTGTGTCCGGCATGATCTTCGTCGTCAAAAAGTTAGCAGCGTTGATGGCGACGGTGCGCGGGTGCGGATCGGTTTGTCACGAGCGGCACGTCCGGAACCGTGGGTGAACATCCTCGACGCTGACAACGGAAAGAAGACTCCCGTATCTTTGCGGCGGGTCAACGTCGGCCGTGCGGCACTTCCTGGACTTTGCACCATGACGTATGGTACGCGGTATTGGTCAGTCAAATACTCATAGTAGGGCGACGGCTGATAAAGGTGGCACGAGTCGCGGGGCCGTGTCAAGGTATTTGGTAGTTTTACAGACCAACACCACGTGTTATACGCCACAGTTTCAAGTCCAGCAAGTACTGTACGGCCGACGGCGACCTGCCGCAAATAATACGTATAGTTTACTTCCCGTTATCACAATGATAACGTCAAGGATTTACACCACTGACTCCGGACGTGTCATAAATAAATATATTACGTGTTGTGTGAATAACATCTATAGTGCATTAAATTAATGTAGAAAATCATCAATATTGAATTACTTGAAATATTTTAGTATGAAATGGGAGTTTAAGGTAACAACAAATTTTAATTCATGTTCTCAAAACACAAATAACCTACTATGTAATAAATAATTAATAAAGACCATTATTCCTATAAATTTACTAATAGTACATATCCTTTTTTAATATTTTCACATGAAAAATTCTCTAGTCCTCTTTTTATTCTTTATGATTTATTACATAAATTATGTAACTGTGCGACGTTATTTTTATATATGACGGCCCAATAATTCTGTAATTTATTTTTTATTAAAGATGTAAATTCAGGTAGAAAGGCAAATCAATATCAGACTTTTACATTTATTGATACAACTTTGTTAAATAATAATTGATTTATTTTAGCTTCGAGGAGAAGCTAAGAATTTTTTTATACATACTTCAGGTTTTATCACTTCAAACAATGTTGAATAAAAAATAGTGGAACAATTGATTATTTCATTCGTAAAATTTGATAAGTCTTCTTTTATGAATTTAATTATTTCGTCATGAACATTTATAGAGAGGACTTCGGCAGAAACAATTCTTTTTCTTAAACCATTTAAAGCTTCATCAAAAGATCCTATAATAATGTTAAAAATAAATAAATAAAATTACTTTTAATAAACTAGGTTACTTATTAAATAAAAACTAAAATATTTATTATAAGAATTCTCTTACTTCGATTTTTTATAAAATCAATTAAATTATTGTACGTGAAGCAATTGTACAGCGCTGTTTTAGCTCGAGGTAAATTCTTCAATGTTATTAAATTCATTATTCCATCAACAGTTATTGTAAAAGAAATATCCTTTGAAGAAAATAGTTTATTAACATCGACAGTTTTAAAACAGACATTTCATTTAATTAGAAGTTCATATAAAAATAAAATCGAAAATCAATAATATATTTATGTAACACTGTAATAGCGAATAGTATCAATATAATACTTCTTTTGAAAGAGTTTGTTACTTGAAGCATAATGATTGGCAATCAATGATAAGTTATAATTCTATCACTCTCGACAATTTTTTTAAATTATTATATTATTGTTTATACTTACAGATGTCAAAAAAGTATAATACGCTGCAGAACAATATGTCCCAAAATCATCATTGTTACCTAATGTGTAAGTTCGAACATTGTTAATCATTGTTTGCGGAGTCGAATATTTAGATATAACTTCCTTTAAATAACGGATAGTAGATTTACGAAAAAAATCATTGTTCAATTTCTCTGAAATTTTATTTTATTAATATTATATGATTGAAATTGTGAATTTTAAGAAATAAAATTAAAATAAATTTAGCAAAACACAGATAAACATGTGTCAAGTTTTAAAATATAATGTTTTTTAAATTATGGATCATAGATTCAATTTCCCTGAAATTTTATTATAGTTTATTTAATAAGAAATGTACATTGTATAAATTTATATATATATACAAAATTACAGTTGTGAATTTGAAGAATGTAAATTAAAAAAATTATTTTTGAAAATGTAAAAAATATTATAAAAAACCCCAGCACAGTTGGGTTGTGACACAGTAGTGACGTGGCATAGTTGGATCAAGTATAATGATATCTGACAGTGATTAAAATCACTATAAAAAAAAAACGCTTCGATGCAAATCTTTAGATAGTGTTTAATTTTAAAAAAATTTTGGATTATTCCAAAAGCTTCATGAACTGCTATTTCATTATTTATATCCTGATTAAGATTAAGTATGCCGAATAAAAACGGGATACAAATATTATTTCCATAAAAAAATTGTGTTTAAGTTAAAAATATAAAAAATAAAATCGAGAATTTTTACACAAAAATAGCATTTGGTAGCCATTTTCATCGTAAAGACAATATAAGTATGAAATTTTTTTTTTACATAATAAAGTAGATTACATTAGCTTTAATTTAATATATATATATA